TCTAGCATCTGTGTTTAGTTGAGTTGAGTTACCGATGCTCTGTCGGACTGTGAACAACTCTGTCTTTTTTGGAGCATTTTCAGAATGCATTCTTCCCAAACAACGAGCAAAGGTAAGGTGGGGAGGGAATAATTAAAAAAGAATTCATCTGCAAGGGGTGGGGAGAATGAGAAAACTAAGAAAAAAAAATAAAAGAAATACTACTTGTTGTGCGCGCACAGCACTGCACGCGTCAGGCGCGCCTGACATACTTTTTTTTTTTAATTATTTTTTTCATTTTAAAAAGTCAGTTTTGTTTTTTGTTTTTTTTTTTTTTTTTGTTTTTTTTTTCTCTCCCCTCCCACATTCTCTTTCCTAATCACTCTTACATTCTCCCCTCTAACATCCCCACTGATAAGGATGCTCTAAGGCGTTTGGTTGGAAGAAAGGAATTAGGGGTGAACAACTCTTATAAGGCGTTTGGTTGGAAGAAAGGAATTAGGAGGAAAAAGAATTGTAATTCTGTGGGAAAAAAATAAAGTTAAATTTAAATTACATTGGTTGGTGAGAAGGAATAGAATGATGGAGAAGGAAGAAGGAAGAAGTGAATAAATACTAAAATACCCTTGTATAATATTAATATAATAATAATGAGGGTAAAATGGTAATTTTATCATGGAATTACAATTCCATAATAAGCTTAATCAGTTGGCATTGGTAGAACTACTCACCATATATACTATACAAATTGATGATATATTCTCCAAATAATCAAATCCCCTGGACAAAGGAGGATTCAAAATTGTATGTATGTAGGGAAAATTCTTGTTCATGAACATGCCTTAGCTTTTCCAGAGATTTTTGCTTGATAAATATGTGATCTCATATGGAAGAAGGCATCTATATATACTATACATTTTAGGATAAAAATTACCAACATTGTATTCAACTAAGAGTGGTTCACATAATTGGGCAGGATTATTCAATTCCGGCCGCAATCACAAAGTGGGATAGAATCAATGTCAAGCATATATATATAAATAAGTAGATTTAGTCAGAAGCACAAAAATAATTAGGAAAATATACACTCTGCCGGGTATATATATATATATATACATAAAGAATATATATTCTCCTTCTTTTTATCTGATAGTTAAAAAATAATAATGATTGCCCTCACAGGTAGTTCATCAGTTGGTTCATGGGTGGTAAATTGTGGATAAGAGCACATGATCGAGCCCTAGCTAAAGGGCTTTGATCAGGAGATCTTGTCAGCCAATTCAACTCTTCGACGAAGTTTTTGCGTGTTTGAGCTAAGTAATTCTGTAGCATATCTCGCATATGTACTTTGTCCTGACTTGGGTGTACGGTTCATTCTTGATTGATGAATGAGAGTTGGGCAATCTGTTACGTTCTTGAAATACTAGTTTAGGTAATCAACTTCACTATTTAATACAGTGGGACTCTTAAGTCGTCGTATCTTTACGATCTTCAAGAGCTAAAAACGGAAGACCTAAATCTAGAAGAACTCATAGCAGGAGAGCATAAAAATGATTGAGATTCATGTAGTGGAAGAGTTAGGTTGATGACAAATGGAACGACAAAGTTGAAAAATAAAAGATTGTATATTCTTAATTAGAAGAACCTATTTCCAGAAGAACATATAAATCATTAGAGCTTCATAAATCAACATATTGTATAGTCAACAAAGTTGAGGGAAGATAAATTAGCAAAGCTTAACATCTATCGGAAGATATTATCTTCGGTATCTCTACACTTTTACTTTTATGCATTCCACATACTTCCAAGTTCCTTCCAACCACTTTCAAATATATTCATATTTCAACTTTAAAAAAATTAAGACATGTGTTAATAATTTCTTAAAAACTTTAAAACGAGACAAAAACTTATGTTGTGTGCTTTACAAAACTCTAATTTCACAAAAGACTAATTAGCTAAGATTTTAATGTATTACTAGCTTATATTAGGTGCATTGTTGAGAGATTAACTTATTAAGTTAAAAAAAAAAAAAAAAATCCATATAATTTTACCAATTTTTCAAAAAAAGAGTTAATTACCGATTTGGTCTCTCGACTATGAGGATTTCACCAATCTAGTCCTTGACTTTCAAAATTTTTCAATTTAGTCCCCTACTATGCTTTTTTTGTCCGAAATGGTCCTAACCGTTAGACATCCGTTAACTCCGGACTAAATTGGTAATTTCGCTATAATCAAAGGACCATTCAGTAATTAACTTTCGGAGAAAATGGTGCATGTGATGACCGAAATGGTCCCTTGACTATAGCAAAATTACCAATTTAGTCCCGAGTTAACGGATGTCTAAAGGTTAGGACCATTTCGCGTAAAAATGGCATAGTCAGGGACTAAATTGAGGAATTTTGAAAGTCGAGGACCAGATTGATGAAATTCTCATAGTTGAGGGACCAAATCGATAATTAACTCTTTCAAAAAATTTAAAAGTCGATTCACTCCTTAAAACTTTTCTCATTCCGTACCATCGGGATGTATGATGTAGGATTTGAACTTAAGACCTATTTTATTTAGTTAGACAAGAGATTTCAGTTGCCAAAATAATCAATTAGTGTTGGCCATAAGATTATGTTTTCTACTCCCTCCGTCCCATTTTGTTTGTCTGGTTCAGTTAATGAGGTTTAATGAAGTTATTTTTAATTCAAATTTTCATAATATATTAAGTTTAGTATTAGTATATAAAATTTATATGTTTACAAACTACATTAAAAATACTATTAAACAAAAAAAAAAATCCAACTTAAAAATAATTAAAATTACTAAAGAAAATAAGCAATAAAAAAAGAGTCGATTTGACCAATAAATAATAAACATGATAGATAAAATGAGACAGATCAGATGGAGTATTCAAAGTAATTGTTTTTGCTAAAAAGTGAGTAGGGGCTGCCCAACTTTAGCTTGTACTTTTACTTTGTAAAGATGCATTGTTGTTATTCTCTTTTAGTTTGAAGCTTGGTATCTGGCAAGTAATTTGCCTTTTTAGTCAAGATCTCTACAAAAAAGCTTCAATCATACCACTAAGGTTTAGAACAACAACCAACCTTTTTTTCTTCATGCTTAGCTTGTTCTCCGACTTCCCCATTTCTAAACTAAACTAGCTTCTTCAACATTAAAGAAGAGAAGAAACCTCTTAACCAATTGGCTATTTGTACTTGGCATGCTTAACTACGAGATTCTTTGGTTATCTGGTTGTCATATTTTTCTTAAAACCAATTTGTGATAAGTATGTGGATATTAACAATTTAACCACATCCCTCCATGGTAAGCTACAACGCCACAGTTCGATGGTAGGATGCTAAACTTGACCCTCCAAGCCGAAGTCTCAATACAAATTTAGGGGTGTCTAAGTGGCCGGATTAAAACCCGAGAGGCAACCCTAACTCACCTCATGGGGCAAATTATATCATGGACCATGTCCACTTTAAACGAACCAAGCATCTTAATCAATATAATTTTCTAAGTAATTTAATTTTTATGTTTCCATATAACTCCAAACATGTTAATTAATTTTCCCTACAAAGTAATTCCTATCAAATACATTTACCAAACGCCCTCGTTAAGAGCATCCTCAACAGTTGCACATCTTTTAATTTTCTCCATGCGGGTCCCACCTTTTCAGACCAAAAACTCATTCTCCTACAAGCATCTCATTTCTTCTCTCTCCTCCACATCATCTTTGTTTTTCCAAAACCCCCACAAAAAATCATTGGTGGGGATGCTCTAAGACTCTTGAATGGTCGGAAGACATAAATCTTGACTTAGTCTAGAATAGCGTACACATGAAATAATATTGTAAGATATGTATTGTTGTCTTTGATTCGGTTTTCATATATGCATTTATACGTCAGGAATGTTACATATATATGCTGGTATCTTAGCTTATGAAAATACACAAATTAAACAACCAAAGCAAAATAAAGAAAGATGTCGTATACAAAGCTTCATTCATGGCTCAGGCCACTGAGTATAAAGTAATGTGTTCCCTCCATGTCACTTTCAAACTTCAACTTCATTCTCAAAACAAATAATTGTTTTTAGAGATAATTGTATTTTTTATCCTAAATTTATAAATGATATTCCACTTTTAATCCTTTAAAAAAAATCTCATGTTGGTTCTAGTATTATTGTGCTGTGGAGGCTCATGTTGCGGAGGCGCCGATTTCAATTGATGAAGATGGGAGTCAGGAGACTCTAGCTGTGAATTAGACATTTTTTTTCAAAAATAAAAAATAAAAATATAGCTAGTCAACCCAGTATGTATAAAAAGACCGAAATGTCATTGTATTTAATATCATTTAAATAGGTTGGTTAACAGAGGACAAAAAATAGTTATGCCACAATAATACTATAGGATAACAAGATAAGGGATGTTCAAAAGAAAAAAAAAAAAAAAAAAAAAAAAAAAAAAGTAAAAGTAGAATGACACCTATAAATCTAGTACCAAAAATGCAATTAACTCATTGTTTTTATTTAGAGCAACCACAATAGTAGTTTTTGCTCAGTTTTTAGGAGATTTTGGCTGAAGTGGAAGAGAGAGAAGAGGTGAGAGCTTCCTGCAAGGCATTGATTTTTATCTCTGAAGCAGTACTGCTGGGCGCGTTAACATGCACTGTGGCGCCCAGTCGGGCACGTGCACTACACACACCCCGCGGGTGCATTAACATGCATATATTTTTTTTAATTGCTTTTCAAATTTTTTTTTCTTTTTTTCCCTTCTCTCTCATCTCCTCTTTCCTAGTCACCTACAAAAACTCTTCAAAATGACAAAATTTATGTCTACTGATGATGCTCTTATATAATTAATTTGTAAAGAATTTTATATTAAACATCATAAAAGTTGTACCAAGAGTATTATTTTCGTAATAATTAAGTTACGTATAGTATAAGATCTAGTGAGTAATATAAGTACTGAAATATACATATAAATATATGAAGAGCATATATATGAGGTTGTCTTTATTCTGAGTTGGAGAAAAGCAACAGAATCACTCACACCTATAAAGAAAACCAACCACCCCTAACTAGGCCATGTAAGTAAAATCCATCCTTCAAAGCCAAACACTACAGTACTAGATAGCTAGCATCCTCTTCATCTTCATCTACTACTATACCTACCAATATTTCAACTAAAATCCTGGTTTAATTTTCTCTCTCTCCCCCTTTCATACATAATATAGAGAGAGAGAGAGAGAAAAAAAAAAGTTATGGGTAGTAATTTGAGGAGTAGGAAGGTTTCCTTTTATGGTTCACTGTTATTGGTAGGACTGGTTGGGTTATTGGTGGTTGGAGCTTTAAATATGGAGGAGACGACGACGAAACCTCATCATCATCATCATCAACATAGTAGAGAAAGAGAAGGAGGAAACATGAAGCATATGAGCATGCAAAAAGATGGTGATAATGAGAAGCCTGCAAGTAGTGTTCATACAGATCTCAATTTCATGAGCAAAAGAAAGGTTCCAAATGGACCTGACCCTATCCATAACAGGTACTTTATAATTCCATGTTATATATTTTGGTTTCTAAGTCATTCGGTGTTCAGTACTCATATTAAATTTAGTTGTTATGCACTGTCACTATTCGATGGTGTATACGGGGTAAACTCCCGCATTTTGACTTTAGCTGGTAAAGAACTACAACCCTGACTTGCAAGTTGCCCATAGCTGACTGTCTCAAACCAAGAAAGTCAAAAGGCCAGTTTCGTAGAAAGGGCAAGTCAACAGCTAACAAACTTAGTTAGGGTTATCCGACCATTGTTTGGTATATACTTCATCAATATCTTGCTTGCTTCATTATTAACTTGTTACGTGCATATACTTGCACGTATGAACTATGAAAGTATATATGGGAAAGAAATGATAGTCACCCCTAGCCTTTGAAAAAAGATTAGGTAAGTACACAAAGTATATATACTATATGGCTTTATATATATCTCTCTATTTATTTAAAGACATCAATTCAACTTATAAGTTATATAAATATATACATATGAGTGCTGTAAGTTGCATGTGGCGTGGGGTGTGTGTATGCATGCGTGTATATACACATATATATTTACAGGCTACACGGCACTATTTTTTTTTTTTTTTAATGTAGTGCACATGTAATTATTAGGTACCATATATAATTCATTTAATATTCAATACATGGATTGAATAATTATTTTTATATATTGTCAATATCCCGAACAAACCTAAAGGTTCCTCTAACATGGGTTTATGGCACCGTATACTTTTTCTCTCTTACACACACATATAAATGTGTGTATATATATAGGTCCATAATCAGGTGAAAATCAACCTTAACCTGCAAACTGCAAGTTTGTGAAGGATTGCACTGCACTTACTATATGATTGCATCGCAAGATCCTCATGCATGGGAGTCGTAGCAGTGCAATCATGTAGTATTGCGGTATAATCCTTCACAAGTTCGCAATTCGCAGGTTAATATTGGTTCTCACCTGATTATATATATATATATATATATATATATATATATATATATATATATATATATATATATATATATATAACTTGAAGTAGCTGCTAGCTAGGGTTTACAATTCAATATAATTAAGCCAAACTGTTACATCCAGCTCTATGGTAGCAAAAAAATTTTAATAGGCAAGTTTTTGTGTAGCATAACTTTAAGTTATAATGCATAAATAATGGAAATAAAGGAAAAAGCAAATCTGTCTCTTCACTTTATTCTCCATAGCCTCTAGCAACTGAAAATTATTAACCTTTAATTTCATTTTTGTTATCTCAGCTCTGCATTTACGAGGCCCTTTATAAGCTTTTCATGCCATATATCTTTTGTTTTTCTCCTTTTGCTTTTTTCTACTATCCTTCCGGCCTGTTACTTTACTTTCATGCATCACCATTAGGAATTGAATCCAAATATATTTCATTTCATCCCTAACCAATAACCCTTTTACCCTAAGTGGAAAAGCTGATTACAAAATCGAGTCTCAATAAAAGTATATTTTAAGAGTGATATAAGGATAATTTTATCTGCTTTAATTTGACATGAAATATATTTTAACAGAAGAGCGGGAAACTCCCGACGGTCTCCAGGCCGAGTTTATAAAGGAGAGCTTGACAAGCCATGAATATAATGCATGGTGAGACTAAGAAGACTAAGCTACCAAGGATTCGAGGATCTTAACTTGTATGTATTTACTCAAAGTTGGGACTATATACATACAACTTGTTCTACTAACATTGTTGGGTAAGTTTAACACCATGCATGCAAAAAAGATGTTATAGGTTATGGGATAACTCTGATCTGTTGAACAAAGAACCCGAGAAATTTTTCAAAGAAATACAGTACAAAAGCCGAGGCTTAGCGTGCTTGAAAACTCACACATTAATTACACAACACCAAAGATCGAGAAAGAAGTTAGCCATGTGGTGCATTCCTTGAGTTGAAGGGAGAGACAGTTGTAGAGTACGTGATACCTAAATTTGACGAGAATCTTGATTTTTAATAGTGTTAGATAGTTTTATGTATATAAAATTATTGTTCGTTTTGTAATTTGTTGGTGTTGTGACAAGTGTGAGAGTATAATTATTGTAATGTTAGCAGCCATGCATGCATTAGTAGGAATCTATGCCTGTCAATTATATTAACAAGTAGCTTTTAGGTTGTAGTAAAGGGAATGTTTATTCTGATCTGATGGTGCATTTTGTTAAGAAATGGCATGTGTTCCAAAACTAAAGCAAATCCACCATATAAAGGTGAATAGGTAAAGCTAATAAGCATGCATGTATGTATACCCCAAAAAAAATAAAAGTAAAAAATTGAGAAATATAAAAAGAAAAAAAAAAGTTTTAATTTAAATTTAAATAAGAATGGTGTAGTGTTTTACCTAGCATCTTGTGTTAGTCCTTTTCATTAGATTCTTTGGTGGGGGGATGTGAAGGCTGTTTTGGTCTTTGGGTCCATTCAATTCAAACAGCTTGCAAAGCCAAGTGAGATTCTCTGATTCTCTCGTGCATGCCATATATATCATGCAATTAAATTTAATTATGATAAAATCAAAAGACAAATTAAAGTAGGTTCTTAAGAAAATGAAATTAAAACTAATTATAAATATTGGACTCAAAAAATATTTTGATATGATTCAAATAGGAAGGACAATTGTCTCTAATCTTGAAAGGGAACTCGATTCCTCACCTGATAGGGATTAGAATTTGGGTGGGAATAGGGAACACCATCCAATAGAGGGACGAGGGTAGGGGAAAGTTGGCGGCACGATCCACACAGCTGTGTGGATTATGGTCTATGCAATAACTATTGAAAGTTGACAGGGTTGGAGTCGAAGAATATATCCCGGCCAGCATATTCCCTACCATGTTGTTGTCTCTAGATTCAAACTCCAACCTAAAATTTTGGGAACTCTCTTGTATACTCTTTGCTAGTTGCTATTGGTTTTTATAGGAAAATATAGTATCTTTCCCTCCCATGTTTCCCTTAATATTTTCTTCCTATGATATCTCTTATATTCATTGAGTGTTATGAATTGGCCGACTCCACATATTTTTATAAAATTCCACCAATAATATTTTGTAAAAACCAAAATTTAATAAGATTGAATTGAAAGAAAAACTTAGAGACACCGTTTGTTCAAACAAATTTCTAATTATATTTAGGTCTTATTTGGTAAATGGCTGTTAGCTGATTGAGTTAATTAGAGTGTATAGCTAGTTGATAACATTAGCTGATTGTTGAAAGGGTGTTTGTTAAAATTAATGGTTAGCTTTGGTATAATTTCTTCTCTCAAAAAACTAATTGAGTAGCTTTTTAAATTTTAGTATTTTAAAATTATTTTTTTTAATCAACTCAAATAATTAATAGTGGTCAAATACGTCAAAATTAGCTCGGTTAATATTTTACCAAACATGACCATAGAATGAGGCAAGCTAAGCTTATGAGTTAAAAGAATCTGCAACAATGGTTCATGTTTCTTGTGATGGTCAACCTATCGATAATGAGGTATTTGTACATAAGATACTTTTTTGTAGTCATGTCACTAGATTTGTATATGCAAAATTATATCTGATAAATTTATAACATTTCTTTCAAAAAAATGGTCTGAGGATACAAGAAATTTATTAGATTTGACAAATTTATAACACATATAAATAAATAAACAAATACATAAAATTATTTGATGATGCAGGAAATTAGACTAGAAAAATTAATAACACGTTGAAATCAAAACATCATTTTTGTATATGAGAAATTAGATCATATAGATTGATACCAAGAACTTTGCGGTCCACTGCTACCAAGTTGCTCCCCTATATGGGAAGTTGTGGGTTTTAGTCTTAGGGTCTGTTTGGAAATCCGGAAAATGATTTCTGGAAATCATTTTTCGGGTTTTGGGTGTTTGGCTAGGCTGAAAAATGAATGGTCAAAGGAAAATGAAGAGAAGTCAATAGAAAATGAGCCCAAATTTCTGGAAAATGACTTCCCCTTTTTTTTGGAGAAGTCATTTTCCATCTTCTCCACACACTTGCTTAACTTCAATTCCGCCTCCTCCTTCAACGCAGAAACAACTCCATGTCTCCACCAACAATGTTTCCGGCGGAAACCAGACCACTGGTTTCCGCGGAAACATTTATTAGAAAAAAAAAAAAAAAGTGAAGATGGTTCTCTCTGGTTTCCCTCGCCGGAAACCAGAGAGAAGTCCTTCTCTCTGGTTTCCCGAAGTTCTCTCTGGTTTCTTCCGTCGAGGGAAACCAAAGAGAGCGTCTCTCTGGTTTCCCTTGCCGGAAGAAACCAGAGAGAAGTCCTTCTCTCTGGTTTCCGGCGAGGGAAACCAGAGAGAACGTCTCTCTGGTTTTTCGTATTCTTTTTTTTTTTTTTAATAATTAATATTATTTGATTTTAAAAAATAAATTTTATTATAATTTTTTTATTTTAAATAAAATAATTAATTATATAAAATGGTTAATTATACAATTCTATCTCATTTTTCGAAAATGAACCAAACACACAAAGTCTGTTTTCTGCCGTGCTGCCAAACACAAGAAAGGAAAATGCTTTCCGGAAAATGACTCATTTTCCAGAAGTCATTTTCCTGCTTTCCAAACGGACCCTTAGTGGAGGTGGACTATTGCCTCCTTGTACTTCAATAGGTTGAGAAAGTAATTATTCCTAACATATATATATTGAATAGGAAAAATGGTCAAATAAGCCCTCAAACTTTACCTATGAAGTCAGTTAGACCATTAAATGTTACTAGAGTTCCGGTCAATATTCCCACTAACTCAGCGATATTTCTAGCAATAAAGTAACTAACAATCGTTCAATGAATCAACGGAGGAGAAGGGGAAGGCAACATATATGTGCGTTGCCTTTTCACTAAAAAGGCGATCACTGGGTGACCTTTTCATTGAGAACCCAGTGGATGGAAATAAGTTCATTTCAAAAATAATAATTACAAACATTTAAAAAATTATTAGAATAACACTATTATTTTACACACTACTAAAAATAATAGTATTTTTTTGAAAAATAATAGTATATATAGTGAGGAACATTTAAAAAAAAAAAAATCATTGAACAAACTTTGAATTGTATCGAATTTTATTTTTAATAGTTTGAAATGTTCAAAATATTTTGATTTGTAGTTGTTGCCAAATTAGTTATTCATTAAATGGTCCTTATTATTAGATTAGATGACTCAATAATAACAAATGTAGAACCTTATGTATATAATTTTGAAGTTTTAAATTCTATATCTTTTTTTTTTTTTTTTTTTTTTTTTTTTGTAACAGAGTCTATTCAAAAAATTCTATACCTTTTTTATAAATGTACACATACAATGTTTTTTTTTTTTTACACATACAATGTTTTTTTTTTTTACACATACAATGTTTTTTATTACAATGTTTTTATTACTTTATTAATCTGTATTTTAATATGCTAAATCTATAAAGTTTGTGTACAATTATTAATTTTAATCACATTTTTTAAAAACAAACACGAAATTTTCTATAAAAAAATAATTTAAACGAGACTTAAATTAGTAGAAAGATTATGAAAATATAAAAATTCTTTAAATAGAAAAAATATAGATAATCTATTCTAGAATTCGATCTGAAAGCAACTTTATTTAAGGAAGGTGAATATGACCCCTAACATTTCAAAAAGAATTTCCCTCATTAAGTATATTTTTGAAAAGCCCTCATTAAGTATATAGTTTATAAGTTAATATCAAATTTAGTTCTCAATTATAATGTTTTATTTTTCAATTTTAAATGACATTTTGCACTTATTGGGTCCTGAACTTTTATGGGTTTATCTAATTGAATACTCGGTTAGGATAACATGGTAATTTCTCTTTTATTAATACTCAATTTAGTCCCCGATTATAATGATTTTACCTATTTTAATAATTATTATAGTGATTATTTATCCAATTTAGTCATTCACTATAGTAATTTTTGTCGATTTAGTCCTTTATTCTAACAATCAATGCAACAGAGGCATGCAGAGAACTCAATTAGGTTAAACCATCAAAGTCCAGAACCTAATTAAACCCAAAAAATCATTTAAGACTAAATCAAGAAAAAACAATTATAGTCGATGACTAGATTAAGTATTAACTCAATAGTTTATGGGGGTGTTTGGTAATAGTTGTTAGTTGATTGAGTTAGTGGGTTTGACTAGTTGATAGCATTAGCTTATTGTAGAAAAGTTTTTTTTTTTTTTTTTTTTTTGTAAATTAATTGTTAGCTGATAGTTGATTAAATGCAAAATGATTTTCTCAAAAAAGCTGATCGAAAAATCTACTTTGAACAGCTTTATTTTGAATTTTAGTATTTTGAAGCAATAAGTTGTTACAGAAACTAATTAATCAAACACATTATTTAACCAAGTCGAACAGCTAATAGTGGTCAAATAAGTCAAAATTAACTGATAAGCTAACTATGTTAACAAACCGGACCTATATATATTCAATTAAAATATATATATAAATGCTTAATATATGTTTAATAGTTGAATGAAGAGGTTGCATTGATCAAGCCTAAAGAAGAAGAAGTTGTTGTTTCATCTGCAAAGAAAGGTGGATCATCAAATGCAAATGCCAATGACAAGTCTTCTATCATAGAGGTGGCGATGGCATCCTCAACCTCGGACAGGTGAAACTGATGAGTGCTAAGTCTACTACCCCTAATTGCTCTTCCATCAATACTTCTCAAGCAACAAATGAAGAGTAGTATGGGAAGGTGCATTATATTGGAGGCTTAATTACATGTTCTAGAACTAAGAAATTGCAAGAAGCTGTGAACGATAATTATTAATCCATGCAATTTGGAAGCAAGATGGACTCAAGACACTTGATGGACTTCACAAGGAAGAGACCAAGTTGGTCAATTGCTTAATTTTGCATCTGGAGACCCAAACCGCTGTTATATAAACCATCACCAAGAATAAAGGACTAACTAAAGTTTTGAATATCAATTTTGGTGATAAAATTTATTGGGCTGATTGTGCATCTATTAAACCAACCTTGTGACAAAAAATTAGTAGAGAATTAATCTAAATGGTCTAAATTTTGTAGCTTAGCTTGTGAGGAATTGAATCAAATGAAGCTGAACTCAGGGCCGGATTTTAGGCTGTGCAAGCTGGGCTACCGCACAGGGCCCCCAATTTTAGAGG